CACTAAACACACACCTCAGATTCATCTGTGCACTAAACACACACCTCAGATTCATCTGTGCACTAAACACACACCTCAGATTCATCCGTGCACTAAACACACACCTCAGATTCATCTGTGCACTAAACACACACCTCAGATTCATCCGTGCACTAAACACACACCTCAGATTCATCCGTGCACTAAACACACACCTCAGATTCATCTGTGCACTAAACACACACCTCAGATTCATCTGTGCACTAAACACACACCTCAGATTCATCCCTGCACTAAACACACACCTTAGATTCATCCGTGCACTAAACACACACCTCAGATTCATCCGTGCACTAAACACACACCTCAGATTCATCCGTGCACTAAACACACACCTCAGATTCATCCCTGCACTAAACACACACCTCAGATTCATCTGTGCACTAAACACACACCTCAGATTCATCTGTGCACTAAACACACACCTCAGATTCATCCGTGCACTAAACACACACCTCAGATTCATCCGTGCACTAAACACACACCTCAGATTCATCCCTGCACTAAACACACACCTCAGATTCATCCCTGCACTAAACACACACCTCAGATTCATCCCTGCACTAAACACACACCTCAGATTCATCCGTGCACTAAACACACACCTCAGATTCATCCGTGCACTAAACACACACCTCAGATTCATCTGTGCACTAAACACACACCTCAGATTCATCCCTGCACTAAACACACACCTCAGATTCATCCGTGCACTAAACACACACCTCAGATTCATCCGTGCACTAAACACACACCTCAGATTCATCTGTGCACTAAACACACACCTCAGATTCATCTGTGCACTAAACACACACCTCAGATTCATCTGTGCACTAAACACACACCTCAGATTCATCCGTGCACTAAACACACACCTCAGATTCATCTGTGCACTAAACACTAGGGGTGGAACGGTACACAGAAGTCACGGTTCGGTTCATACCTCGGTTCAGACATCACGGTTCGGTACGATTTCGGTACAATGGAGTGAAAAGCAAAGCAAAAATGCAGAAGGCATTTTTATAAATGTCTTAAACCTTGTATTTTTTTTAAATAAGTTTTATTAATAAAGGCATAGAACCAGTTTATTTGTAGTGCACTGACAGTAGTTTTATATAATTAGTTTATTAATTCAATTATTAAAAAGACGAAAAGACCTTGAGATATGTTTGGTAATTGTACCTGAATGAATTTAAAATTAATTTGCTATTTCAGATCAAGATATTTGTTTTCCTTCATTTTAATTAAC